AATTCAAATACATGTATTCTTAGGTAGCAATGAACCATCAGGGAAAGCTTAAATCAATAACTCAATCAATTGATAAAAAGACCTTGCAGACCAAGAGTGTAAGTACTTTAGGCGAATTAAATGTAAGATGAATGATAACTTCGTGAATGACTTACAACCAGGGTATAATTCTGCTCCTGCTTCTAACAATAAATCACCATATTTCATTGCTTCATCATTTGTCAAATCTATGTTATTTTCATTATTTTCATCATCTAAATTGGCATTGCCTGAGCAGAATGTGTCCCTTAACAATCCTTCTATATCATTTGTTCTGTGCAGCTCACCTTGAGTTTGTACTTAAACAACATTACTAGTATCAGTACATGTATCTGATCTTGTAACTTTAGCTAAACAAGCATGTTCCTCTCCATGTTGATTCCAAACAACATATCCATAGAAAATTCCTATGGAGAGTAAATGCAACTTGACTTCTTTTACATAATGAAAATATCTGTTAATGCATAATTTGTATGGACATAAAATTTTTTATGTTGAGCTTTGACTTTGTGTTGCAAATTCTAAAAAATTATCAACACCTTCAATATAATCACTACTCCATTTTGATTTTGACATCCAACTCTTATCCATCAAGCCTGTAAAGCACTCGAAAAATACACATTTAATAAGCATACACAAAATATGTCTGAAACGATGCTGATGTCAAGATCATTAGTTTACACAAACTACACAAAACTTATGTTCTATACTTATATTATCAACACAAAATACACATTTATAAAACTATAAATTTATCTATTATTTTTATTGGATGATAAAAACTTATATTCTAATACTACTTCATTCAAAATTTTAATCAAATACTTAAATTTAAGCACTATTTTAACTTTTGAAGTCTATAAATTATGAGATTAGTTTACTAAATAGATATTCCATCTTATTCAAATTAGTTTTTATTACCCTATGTTTAGACTTTTTTAGTAAGAGCATAAAATTCATATGCTCCTAGTTTAAGCATAAAGTGCTTATTTAGCTATATTTTTCCTAATTCTACAAATAAGTAAAAAATAAGTTTGGCGGCTATTAAATATGAGAATAGTAAGTATGTAATTTTTAACTGAAAAGTAGACTATTATTTACATAAAAAAGAATGAGTGTTATGTTATTCTTATGAAAAAAGTGGATGATTGCTATGATCTACTTGTAAAAATAGGATGAGAGTTATCACCAAATAGAATATATTTTGTTATATTGATATATAATAGTCTATCATAAGAGTCCTAAAAAATCATTTTAGGCTTATAAAAATAATTTTGGGTGTAGAGTAATGCCTAAAAAATAATTTAATATTTTTGAGAATACTTGTGTTAAATAACTATGATCTTATTAATTAGATGGTATATGGGTTAATAAATCTCTATGTCAGTATTTCTTAGTGTGATAATGCGATGTAAATGAGAGTATTTTAATATACTAACTAATAAAATTCTTACTTGTAAAAACCATAAGTAATATAAGAATTAACTAACTCTAATATTCAACACAGCGTTAGCAAAATAGTTTGTTGTGTTGCATTTTAGTGATATTTGGTTTTACAAATCCTATCCCTATGCATTTTTTTCTTAATGTGATCAAAGATGAGTAAACATTTAAATGTGGTATGTGTTCAATATGCATTATTTTGATATAGATTTTCTCTTATTATGTTCAATATGCACATGGAAATTTGGCTAAGCAAGGTATAAGAAGATTGCATCCTAAATGTATAAGAAGGCTTTGCATTTCATTTTCAAAAACCAACGGCTAAGCTACTGTTGTGATTAATCAAAACCCTAAGGATGCAAATGAAGAATATGAAGAAAAGGGAGAAGAATATGAACAATAACAATGAGAAGTAAAAGAGAAGAAGAGGATGAAGGGAAGAGACTCATGATGATGAGGAACGAAGAGACGATCGGCCGGGATTCGCAGGAGAAGATTTTCATCGTCGCAGCTGGAATCAGGCCCGATCACATAAGCGTAGAGCGAATGAAGAGAGGAATTAGGGCTTCGGGTATCTTAAAGTATCTGATGGGATTTGCCAACGATTTTAACCGGTGCAATGGAAATCATATTTCCGATGCAAAATGAGGTTGAATAAAAAAGGAATGTAAAGTAAAGTAAATGTAGGGCAAAAAATTCTAGTTCATTTAATTTTATAGGTAAATCAAACTCCTTTAGTTTTGAGCAAAAACAATTTACATCATAAGCAAGCTCGCTTGATGGCAAACAACTGCAGCCAGCCACTACCATCGACTTCCTCCACCCTCCTTTGACAACCACCGCTGCTACCCACCGACCACCACCATCACCATCAACCACCACAACCCGACGTCGACCACCACCTCTGTTGCCCAACAATGGTTTACATCACTACCATACACTACAGGCCACCACCACCATCTGATTCGCCCTCCACTAGTGCTAGCCACCCAACTACAGTCAACCAACCACCAACAATTAATTCAATTTGTCCTTCCCAACAAATTATTATGGAGGGTGAATGGATTTTGCTTTAAGTGTTTAAATGGCTGGATTACAATTTTAAATATTTTAATTTATATTTTTTTAGAGTTTTGGATTTTTTGGTGTTTGAGGTGACATTTAGAATATTTGGAATTAATCCCTCTGATTAAAATTTGCATTTAACATTGCCATAATCATTGTGTTTGGTGTTATTTCCATTTATGGATTGAACCTTATCAACTCTATTGAACAGTCGATAGAATATCAGGTTTCGTAGGCTTTATGCCTTTGTTGATATATTTTCTTAGTTGAAGGCCTTATATAAATGTATAAAATATATATTATGATCAATAACCTAATAATATATAGATTTGATAAATCGAACCGTATTGACTCCTATCTATCCATATAGAAGGATCGGGCTCTAACTACATTTATTTGCTAACCCATGTAGCATCTCTAGATATCACGTGTATGCTCATAACACACTCACTGGGGCCCATACATGTTTTGTAATTGCACCTACCCCTTTTATGTACCTATGTGTATACAAACTACTGTGTATGTGCGGGGGCATTTTAGACATATGACGGATCTCCTACATAAGCCCATATAAACTTATGTCGGTTATAGAGCTTTAATAGTTGTGTAGGTGTTACGTTAGATGCTTGTCCATTATTCATCAAGGAGCTTGCAAGCCTCAATAATTTTATCCAACTCAGTATTTAGAACTTGGTTTGATAAAGACTCACACACTCCTTTGAGAATAATGATTTGATCTAGCTTTCTTTTCTCACGACTCATATAGAAATAAATAAGCAACTTCCTAGTTATGCCATCATCATCATTTTCTGCTATTTGCTTAAATAAAGAATCAATCATTTCAATCTTGGATGATTATGACCTTAATGATGTCCTATATGTCAAAAAAAATAACTATTGCCTTGAATAAGCATTTTAGCAATTTACAGTGCATCAGGTCTTATAGGAGAAATATATGAGATATTCATTCCTAAAATGATTGTTGCAGCCCTTGATGTAGTTGGAGTAGTGGGTGTACTTTATGCTTGTAATTGTGAGTTTAGATTACCATGATTTACATTGATCTTTAATAACACATTTCTCAAACATTTATTATTAACTCCGGTAGGCGCAATATAGTGTATTGATGCTCACTTGAATGCATTCTGATATGCCACATCATTATTTTCACTGTATGTCAAATCTTTCTGGTTTCAACTGACATATTGGTTATGGTATGAGTCTCTTGCAGAGTCATTAAACCCTCAGATAGAACTTTCATACAATCAAGAGATTTTTCACATTGACAA